AGATCCTGTCAGCGTAGCTTTTGGGCTTTCTTTTGAAGATTTATGGAGAACAAAATTAGCGAACCTGTCCCTGAGCCAATTCTCTTGCATTAAAAACAAAATAAAACCCATTATAAGTGCACATTTTTTAATAAACTGAAGAACAGCCACCTGCAACTATTACAGATGCATCATTCATCATTTTAGAGGTTGTTTTTTTCAAAAGCAATCTGAGTTGGCTTATCTCCAATTGGAGCAGGCTTTGTTTCATACTTCAAAAATCTTCACTTTTTGAAGACTTGAAACTTTTTTTTTCCCCTTGTATTTGTAAATCCTCAAGCAGGTTTTCTCAGCAGGAGTTTTATGAGAGAGGATAAATCTTGCTGCAGCCCTTACTCTTCTTACCTGAGCAAATCCCCTGTTGAGAGGGGTAATCTCTTGAATGAAAGCAGACTAAAATTGATTAAAGACTCCAAGATCTGTTAAGAGTTGTTAGTTTTGCCTGATCATTCATGACTGGCACACAGCTTGTAATTATGCAGCCTGACTGAAAACAAAAGTAATATTTTAAACAGTTGTCCTGGAACAAAAATTAAAATGACAATATTACAGTAATAGCTGGAATAACTGGTTATAGGCGTTACAAGAGGCTAGTTTTGCGCCTATTTGTGGCTTTAGCTTCACAATGCTAAATGTGTGGCAATAATAGTCATGGAAAGGGGTTGGATTCCAGTGAAACTTGGAGGTGTTAGATGATTTGGGCCTCTAATCCTGCGAGGGACTAGAAGTTGCTACTCTGGCACTCACCAGCCTTTGCAGACAGACTCGACTCCTAACAGTTGCATGTTGTGCATTTGCACGAGAAGCAACTCCATCTGCTGATGCTCTGAAATGTCAAATGTCCTTTCTATTAAGAGAGCCTTAAGGATCCCCCCTCAGGTGCTTCACTTTGTAGGCAGGTGACTGTCAGGCTCTGAAACGATGGGTTAATTAAGCCAGCCAGTGTGTATCTGGCCGAGAAAGCTGCTACTTGACCTGTCTGACAAAGGCATGCTCGGATGGAGGTGCTATGTTATTAAAACGCAGAAAGATCTGGCATTCCAAAGGCATGATCTGTTAGCTTAAGAAAATAAAAATTAAAAGGAATAACTAGAGGCATGTGAAAAAACAGCTTGAGACTAACCCAGACTCTTCCAGACTTTCAGCTCGATGACTGAACAGAGCCTTGGGAATTGCCTCTACAAATGACTGATTACATATGCAGTTCAGTTAATTAAATTTAAAAATTGTGTAGGAAGTCAAAAGGTATAGCTACTTGTTTAATTAAGCTAATTAAGTCCCCAGGTAGCTTTTATATTTGATTTATTCACTGCAAGTGTCTGGCTTGTTCTGTTTTCGAAGCCACGTCAGCATTGACCTTCCATTTTCAAAAAAAAAAAAAAAAAAAAAAAAAAAAGGCTGTCCTGGGATGCTTCCCAGTGTGCCTTGTAGGGAAGCAAGGGCAGTAAAGCAATGGGAGAAAGGATGTGCTGAGCTCCAGGGTAAGCGTGGTTGGCTTTTGTATCCGATCCAAAGGTAATAAAAAAAAAGATTCCTATTGATCTCGGCGTACTTCCAGATCTGGCTTCCCATCTTGGATCATCTCTGGATGGAGAAAAGGTCTTATGTAGTGAATCCGGCCTCCACAGGAATGTGTGCTCGTGCCAGGTGCCTTGCTAAGGCCGAGGTTTTGTCCCGGAGCTGCGCACAGCGCTCCGGTTTGGATGGGGAGCCTGGCGGGCAGGCAGGGTGAGCGGTGCCGCCCTGCAGCACCGCCTCTTCCCGCTTGCCGGAGTTTTCCATCGCGCCACGCCAGCCGCTCCAGCGGGCGCCCTGCCCCT